CCCGCCGCCTTCTCCCCCACGGGTCTGCACCCCGTGGTGAACGTGAGCCCCCTGCCCCCCGCCTTCAACGTCACCTCGCCGATAATCCAGCACCCAGGGGTGCCCTACCCTCCCATCCACTACGCCCAGATCCCTCCAGCCTCCCTGCAGCTCATCGGCTCGCATTACACGGTGCCCTATGCTGTCCCTCCTGGCTTCCTGCCCAGCCCTCTCCTGTCTCCTTCCACCAGCCTGACGGCCTCTCTCCTCCCCCACTTTGTGCCATACGCCTCTCTCTTCACGGAGGAAGCTGCCCCTTCCCCCCAGACTACCTCTCCTACCCACACCTTCAACAAATCCGCTTCTGCAGTCTCTCCTTCTGGCCAGATGCAGCACCACACTGGGACCCAGCCCTTAGATATTACACCAGGTAGAATTCCTGTTTATTATCAGATGTCCCACCTCCCACCTGGGTATTCAGCATACGAGGCACCTGCGGCAGGTAGAAGCCCAGAGTCTCCCCAGCAAGACAGCCAGCTGAGTTCAGAGGGAGCTGCTGCCAACGGTGGGCAGAGGCACCTGGAGCACAGTGTGGTGAGGAGGAGCAGCGAGGCTGCGGACGGTGCCAGCAGCAGGGCTGAGGACTGTCTGCCCGGGGCTGCGGCGGGATGTGTGGCTGATGGACAGCTCCTTTCAGGTTACCAGACGCTGGGAACAGAGGTCTCTGTGCCAGCTCACAGAAGCACCCCAGACGCTGATCTGGAGGTTCAGAGGGTGGTGGGGGTGTTGGCGTCTCAGGATTATCATGTTCTGGCAGCCCAGAGGAAAGATGACCCGGGCCTTTTAAACCTTTGCCATCACACCCCGGATCAGCAGGGGGAGTCGAAGGAGGCGCTGAGGAACGCGGTAGAGAGGGCTGCTGCTCCTGAGAAAAGCCAGTCCAGGAGTCCATATGTCACCTCCCCTGAAGAGCTGGTCAGACAAAGACAGTTAACCAAAGGAATGGTGATAGCCAACGGCAAGCCAGTCCTGGTTCCTGTTGGAGCCGAGCCCATCAGGTCTTCCGCTTCAGAAACCCTGGTGAGGCAGAACCCAGAGGCACAGGCTCGAGGAGTGCTGGAGAAGGACCTGGCCCAGCTGCAGCCACCCAGCTCCTCACACTTGCCCTCTCACTTCATGAAAGGAGCCATCATCCAGCTGGCCACGGGAGAGCTGAAGCGGGTGGAGGACCTGCAGACCCAAGACTTTGTTCGCAGCGCGGAGGTGAGCGGGGGCCTGAAGATCGACTCCAGCACCGTGGTGGACATCCAGGAGAGCCAGTGGCCAGGGCTTGTCACACTGCATTTTGTGGTTGGGGAGCAACAAAGCAAAGTGAGCATTGAGGTGCCCCCGGAGCATCCTTTCTTTGTGTATGGCCAGGGCTGGTCCTCCTGCAGCCCCGGGCGGACCGCACAGCTCTTTGCTCTGCCCTGTCACCGGCTGCAGGTGGGCGACGTCTGCATCTCCATCAGTTTACAGAGCATGAACGGCAGCTCCACGTCTCAGGCTTCCTGCCCCCTCGTGGATCAGCTGGTGGTGACCAGGGAGAGGCCCGAGAGGACAGCTCAGGGGCCCTCAGAGCCGCCTGACAGGGCTGGTGGCAGGAAGAGCCAGGCAGCCAGGGAGGCGACAGAGCCCCCGCCCGAGGCTGGCAGCCAGCACAGCTGGGCAGCCACCGCCTTCCAAAGATCGGGCGTGCGGGCGGAGGAGCCGCGGCCCTCCCTGCTCCGCCCCTCATTCATTCCCCAGGAGGTCAAGCTGTCGATCGAAGGGCGTTCCAATGCGGGGAAGTGATCCCCGGTCTGTGAGCTGGGGCGTCCCCTGTGGGTGAGCCTCCCTGTCAGGTGGAGAAGTTGCACAGACTTTGTGAGAGGTTCACCAGCAAGGCTGCTTTCTGCCCTGCAGGACTGGGTTTATTCCATCCAGTTCAGTGGCTGACCAGGTCCTCTTGGGGAACCAAGAAGCCTCCAGTGCCTCAGGGAGCAGCACCAAGCTGAGCTGGGGCAGAGCAGGGGGAGGTGCTCCTGAGCTGCAATGAGCATTCCAGAGGCCGGGGCTTTCTCACACCTCCCCCAGTAACTGGTTCCCTGCAGGGCAGGGTCTAAACATTCAGGATGGGTGGGGAGATGAGGAGGGCAGACATGGCTTAAGGTAGCAGGTAAAATTGTTGAAGATTTTATTCCTCCTTTCTCATGACGGGGAGAGATGGGTCCCCACTGGAGTTGAGGGGGCTTTACTCCCAGTATCCCTTTTCTTCACACATGCACTTTAAAAGGACCGTTCACCAATGGAGCTCTTGAGGGCAGGACAGAGATGCTTCTCTGGTGGTTCTGTTTAATGTCTCTTCCACTGAATCCAACTGCTCTTTCTTGCAAAAAATGTGCAGATTTGAGTGAATCACAGAAACTCAAGAGGAAGGACCAAAAGGATGGGCTTGGGTATAGGTGAACAGGGAACTTGAGCACTTGGAATGGGACACGAGTTGGGACGGGAGACATCAGGTTTCTGCTATAAAATACATTTCATTATTTGCCACCAAATCAAATCTTTCTTCCCATGTTAATAACTTTAAAAAAATAAACATCTCTCGGGCTTATAGCTTTTGCAGAGGCTTAGCCTGTGGGTGAATGGGATTGGATTTTGGGGTTTTTTTTTTGGTTTGGATGGATTTTGGGTTTTGGTGTTGGTTTTTTTTATGTTGCTTTTTTTTAAAAGCTGGAGTAAAATATATTTAGCATTCTCTAGTGAAGGATGGAAACACATCCTTTTTCTTTGAGAGGACCAAGACTATTTGGTAATTAAATTAGGATAAATCTTCTTTTCCCTGCAGGCAAGTTACCTGAATAAGCTCAAGACAAGAGACGAGTGTTTGTGCATGTGCAGGCAAGGTACAAAGTTTCTGCTAAGTACAGTTCTATGATTAATGTAGGGACTCTAAAAATATCACAGCATCATAGGGCATTTTGGGGTTGTTTTGTGTTAGTTTTCCTGATGCTTCACTTTGGAGTTCCTCTATAGTAAAATCAAGATGGTAAAAACATGGTAAAATCAAAAGTAGTCTTATTCACAGTGAATTTAATACAAACATAGTGATACCTCGTTATGGTGATAACACTCCATTCAAGTGAAGGCTCCTGTAATTACACTAATTTGCCCACTCTGATGGTGTGTTACTGCACCAGCTCTAACTGCTTAGCTAGGGGAAAAAACATTCACTATTACGTTGAGGATAAGGGTCTTCACTGACTCCACCTTGTTTTAAGGGGCCCACCTCTGTGCTAGGACCAGGCTCCTGAGAAGGCTCCTTTGCTGTCTGCAGGTCCCCCTGGAGTCCCGATGCTGCTCCTGATGTTCAGCCTGCCCTTTCCTGGCTCCTGAAGTCTCCTGTCAGGTGTGCCTGGCTGCTGGGGCACTGCTGCTCCCCCTGAGTGCCAGCCCCACTCCTGGCCTGGCCTCCTGAGCCCAGCTTGGGTCATCTTGCTGTGGGGCCTCTCGGGCTGTTCTCGTGCTCTCCAGGGATGAGTCCTGTCACTGTGTGACAGGGGGTGCTCTGCCTGGGTGCTGGGCAAACCGGAGGGTCTCCTGAGTGTCCCACCCAGGCCATCAGCCCTGCTTTCCTAGCTCAGTGCTAGCCCTTTCTGTTGCCTTTGAGATGCTGGCACCAGGACAGTTTCTTTTCCGGCCTTAGGTGGATGTGCTGCTCCTGCCTTCAGTGTTTGTGCCTCAGGGGGTTTCTCCAGAAGGAGGATGCTGCCTGTTTCACATGTAGCTTCCCCCAGTGACACTGCTTCTGATCTCATCAGCTGCATTTGAAATGTATGAAGTCATGGTGATGCTGTCATGTGAAGATTTTGCCTCCTTGGATGCAGCAGCTGTGGGAACAGATGCTGTTTTCATGGCACTATTTCTCAGTAAAATGTGCTGCCTGGGCCCAAGTGCCTGGCCTCCTCACCTCGTGTGTTTCACAGTTGTTATTTATTGGACTCTCCTACACAAAGACCTCGATTCATGTTGGCTAGTACTTAATGCTCAGGATACCCAGGGTGACTGTGGCCAAAGGCAGGAGGCAGAGGAGACAGGTTCTCTTGCCTGTCCTTGGCATGGTGTGTGCAGAGGGTTCGGAGCTGTGGCAGGTGGATCTGGCACACGTGTGGTGTGTGAACATAGCTGGGCTGGTTGCACACAGTGAGGGCACGTCTGAGCAGAACCTTTGTGTGCATCTTTGAACACAGAAGCTCTGTCTTTACAGGAGGGTTTGGAGACCCTGCCTGATATCCTGTGTGTTACTGTAACAGCTGCTCCTGGATCTTGGCTGCTCTGAGCAGTGGTCTGGCAGGGCAGACACTGATGTACGTGGCAAGATGCTGTGTGACTAAAATAGCTTTGTACTGTAGGCAGCTGGAGGGCTGTGGAGGTGTCACCCTGGACCTTGGCTAGCTGTGCTTCTACTGAGCTCTGTGGAACAGGCCAGGGTGAATCTGACCTCGGTGCTTCTACACAGACTCCTTTCAGTCCCATTGTTGGGTATGTTGCAGCTGCCCATTCGTCTATGGAAGCCAGTTTGGGGCATATCCCATGAGGGGGCACTGAGATGAAGTATCCAGGCATCTGGCTGCTTGCCCCAAAGGCAGTGGGCAGGAGGGGGCCACTGGTAGCCCTCTAGCCCATCATAGTTTGTGATCACTGGAATCTGTCGGAGCTGGGCTGTGTTCTCAGCACCTGTGGTGGTGGTGGCTGTGTTGAGCATTGAGGCTCTCCTGAGACAGGGATGGTGTGGGACTGGCTCTGCTGTAGGGAGAAAGGCTGTGGATGAGCCCACAAAGGAGGCTTTTATTTCTTAAGTTTACTGGGAAAGGAGGAGATAAAGCCAGGAAGACATTGTGGAATGAGATAGTTATCCTGGCTCTTCTGCTGGCAGAGATGTGACAGGCTTCTCAGAGAGACAGGCTGTTTTTCTGTTGCTGTGGTGAAGGAGAGGAGAGCTGTGGTCTGTCCTACATGGAGGAGAAGGCCTCTTGGTCTTGTCCCACTCACCCATCTCACACTCAGTGGCAGAGTCTGTAGGATGCAATAACGGTGTCTGTAGCCATCTGTCCCAGCTCACAAAACATTCCTGGGTCAGCTGCCCTGTGGAGGCCAGGCCAGGTCCAGGCTGTGTGTACACTGGTGCTCCAGGAACGTGAGACTTGCTCCAGGCAATGAGAGCTCATCACTACCAGACTATGCAGAGGAAGCTCTGTCTGGAAAGCAGGAAGGCTGCAGAGGCCCCTCTGCCTCCCCTTTCCAGCAGGTGCCCAAGTATAATGCACTTTTCACATTAAGTGTCCCTGTCCCCACACTTGAAGTCACTTTCCCTGTAGAGAACTAACAATCCTTCTTACTCAGAAAATATTGTGAGGAACTACAGCAGCTTGAGCAGCCTGAGCGTGTTCCTGCCGCAGCACGTGTGCCTTTCCCTCGTGCCACTCACAACTGCTCCTTGTCTTTCAGGCTGTCCCACTGCCTGAAACTTTGCAGAAGCTGCTAAGATGGCTACGAGTGCACATTCTGTACAGAGTTTGGCCCAGGGTGTGTTCCGTGTATGGCTTAAAACGCTGATGGTCAAGGCCCCTCCACGGTCTCCACACCCGTCCGTGGAGGACAGGACTTGCTCCTGCTCCTCCCAGGCTGCTGCTGCCCCGCACACCCGCCCCGCACATCCTGGCTGTTTCCCTCTGTGGTGGCACCTTAGGGCCAGGGGAGGCTCTGCCCACGCGTGGCCAGGACGGCCGGGCTACCCTGAGGCAAGGAGGCCCTTGTAGATAAGTGCTGACCCCGACTGTAATCCCACTTATGTAATGGCTGTATTAACATGTAACCGACCGCATTGTATCTAAAGCCTTAGAACTAGTCAGGTGCTCCTCTCCGACCTTGTTCCTGCCCCCTCCTCCTACCTGATCCTTAACAAAGCATTAATAATTCTAAGGATAATCTCTATTTTGTTGTGCTTTTTTTGTAACTGTTTTAAATAAATCAATTTGTACTGTATATTTGTACTTTTGGTGAGATCCTTTTTCCTGTTTTACCATTTTAAGTCTGTACTTGGCTACACACAGATTGTATTTTTATTGTTAATGCTCTTATGAATATTGCATTTAACTTGTTGACTCTGTAAACACAGTATATATCTATATATATATATCTATATATAAACCAATAGCTTTTCCTTTGGTGTTTGAGATTTTTTGCTTGTCTGTAGCATCAGTGGCCATTAGGACGTGGCTTCTCTGGTCTCACAGAGCGATCTGGGGACTTGTGACCTGGGCCAGGCAGAGGCTGGCTGACAGAAGGACCATAAGCCATAATTCTGTGTTCAAATACTTTTCCTTTTATGTGGCCTTTTTCTTGAACCCCTTGGAATAATGATCAGGTGCCAGGGATGCTGCAGGGGGAGTTTCAGCTACATCTCTGCTGGCCAAGCAGAACACACCAGATAAAGCAACAGCAAACACTGCGAGAAGCAAACTGCCAGTTTGAGTATGAAAATGGGCAGAGGTAAGAATACAAGTGAATGATGAGCTCAGAGAACAAAGGTAACACAGAAATTAAAAGACCCTTTCCAGATCTGGTGCCTTTTCCCAGGGTGAGGGAGGCAAGGATGTCTCCTGGATGTCAGTTCTATGTGATGAATGATATGAGAAAACAAAGTGTTACAGTGGCACATACTGTAGTACTGAAAAGATGGAATGCTTTTTTGTAGCAAGCATCCACAGACTGTCTGCAAGGTTAGTTCATTATCATGAAAAATGCAACATTATGCACTTTGAAGACAACTATTGCCAGAATTAACTAGGGCTTTAAGGGACTTGGATAAAATATTTTCAAACCAAGTAAGAGGTGAAACCAGGTCCAGCTGCTCAGGACTTTGTAATATCACCAAGGTGGGAGACTCCACAGCTTCCCCAGGTAAAGCATGCCAGTTCTCAGTCACCTCACAGTGAAAAATGTTTTGTGGTGTTCAGAGGGAACCTCCTGTGTTTCCATTTGTGCCTCTCCCTGGAAGCAGCCTCATTCTGCTTTCTTTAGGTTCTCCCTTCAGATACTTACAAACATTTATAAGCTCCCTGCCCCACCCCCTGAGCCTTCTCTTCTCTAGGCTGAACAGTCCTACTTTTTCCCCATAGGAGAGATGCTCCAGTCCCTTCACTCTCTTATTGGCCCTTTGCCAGACCCTCTCCAGTACATCTGTGGCACTTCTGTGCTGGGGAAGCCCTTGGCTGAACACAGTATTCCATGTGTGGCCTCACCAGTGCTGGATAAAGGGGAAAGCAAATCCATACAGCACTAGTGAGCTGACCGGCCCTGACTGTTCACCATTCAATCAAGTCTTTCACTTGCAAATCTGACATGCTGTTGAAGTGAAAATCACCTTGTGAGTAAAGCAGCAAACTTGTTTGCTGTTTACTTACCTCAGTCAGCCTTTCTGTGAGTGTTTATATGTGATCTCTTAGAACAGGAGCTCAGTTTCCTCTAGTGTTTCCAGGGAGGCTACTGCAAATAAGCATGTAATGGTAGTGTTAAGGTGAGAGGTGTGCACAGCCATTTCCAGGGAGATGACATCCTCCTTTGCTTCCTTTCTTTGGGCACAACCTGCAAGGGATTTACTCCTGGAGGAGTTGGGGACTAAGTGCTCAGCTCCATACCTCCTGCTGCAGTGAACCAGATCCCTTTCCAGTGAGGCAGGCCCTCAGTGACAGCACAGCTGCAGCAGCTCAAACCCACCCAGGGGCAAAGGTCCAAGAACAGGATGAAGCACCAAAGGTAAAGAAGGGGACCAAATAAACGTGAGCATTAATTTATTTTCCCTCTGTTCACAGGCTGTGACTTGGCCCCCAGAGCAGACTGTGTCCTTCGAATCTGCTCCCAGCACAGCTACCTTGCCAGACATCTCGGCTCCGTTCTCCTCTGCCCCGGAGCCACCAGCAGGGCTGCCCAGGGCGCTCACCAGGCCCCGGCAGCCGGGGGCGCGGGCTCAGTCAGTGCAGGGCGCTGTTGCTCTGCTCCTCAAAGGCCATTTTTCCCAACAGCTGGCTCTCCAGCTCCGCGTTGCTCACCGGCAGCTGGAAAAAGTTCATTTCAGCTGCCAAAGCGGCCATGGCCGAGGGGTCCTGGCCAAACTGTGCCCGGAGCATCATGTCCATTTTCTCCAGGCGCCGCTTGAGCCTCTTGGCCTCGCGCTCCCGGATCAGCCGCGCCTGCCG